ATTGATAGTATTTTCATCACAATTTAAAGGGTATATTGAATTTGGCAATCTGTTTGCAACACCTCAAAATACCCAACGGATACCCCATTTATCCATGTCAATATTACCATGTTTGTCTGTCGGTCTCTTAAAATTTCGATAGAGCTCGTAATATTTAAGATACAGCTTTGAAATTTGGCACAGACATTGCTACTATTATCAGGATATTTAGTATTGATAATGGGATTTATTGACCCAAGCTTCTGGGCCGATATAATGGTACCTCCCACTATTAACTTTTTTGTGTACCTTTTTAACAGAATAAGGTGGGTGGTCAAGTAACTCGTACTTTAATTCGTTGATTTTAGCATTGTTAAAACACTCTTGTTCGCTGGTGCGTTGTCTTGATGAAAAATTATTTTTTGTGTTATAAGCCAGGACTTTTTTCTCAAATTCGTATATTTAATTGATCCCAAAGGTTGCAAAGTACTCTGAATTTATTGTTTTACCTTTTCGTAGATGGTCAATCAATAAAATATGTTTGATGTCCCAAAAAACCGTTCCCATAATCTTACCAGCCGATTGATTTTATTTTTTTGCTTTCTTCTTTCCTCCAGCTTCAGTCCATTGTCTTCGAATGCTGAATATTGGATTGTTATTTTGTCACGGGATTAAAGTGGTGGATCCATGTCTCGTCAACAGTTATGAAACGACGCTTAAATCAATTTCATTTCGCTTAAAACGATCCAAACAAGCTTGACAAATTTTAATTTTTATTAGTTTGAAAGCTTTTTTGTACTTCTTCATGCAAAATTGAATGGACTCGATCATTTGATACGCCTATGATATTAGCAATTTCATGAACTTTTATTCGTCGATCATTTAATAGCATGCACTTTGGCTAAAATTTCTGTAGTTTTTGGACTTCCACTACATTGTCAGGCTATTATAGCTTCGTGCAGCACCAGGAGTTTATAACGCCGCGAAATATTGGTCCTAGACACACCTTTAAGTATACCGATCGTAATATCTCGACTAGCTGAGTCGATCTAGGGCCAAAGAACAAGCATACCTATTTTGATGAAGATCGGTTAATATTTAGCTGGTCAAATGGACCCTGACTTTTGTGTGAAAAATTATAACATTTGTAGTCTTTGGCGTATATATATACCCGAGAAGTAGATAATATATCCAAGAGGACTGGTTGGCCTTTTAATTGATACCCATTATATTGTCGTATGTACTCGGATGTGTGAGATACACTTAAATATTTACAGGTGCTTACGTATTCATATATTATTTAGTACCCCATTATCACACTAGAGGGCGGAAATATAGCGCTGATCGCTCTGAAATTTTCCATAAAGATCCAGGTATGGTCAAGGACAATGCCTATAATTTTCGGTGATGATTAGATAATAATATTGGGATGAATTGGACCGAATACTTAATTTTTTTGTGTCGATCTTTAGACCACATTTTAAAGCCGAACATCACAACTCAACCCGCCGTGAAGGGAATCTGGACAAGTAATTAGAAGGGCTGTACGGAATATTAGTAACATTGGTTGACCTCTAGTCTGTCAAGAGGGTGCAAATATTGCCCAAGCTCAGAATGTAAAACAACAGAAAGTTAGATTTTCGTGGAAGTTGTATAAGGTATGGTTGGCCCTGTCCGACTATACTACTCCGCTCACTGGTTAACTGTTGCATATGAAGGAACACTTTCACCTAACACATTCACCATATCATTATGAATTTCTTGTCCCGATAAACCTTTTTATGTAAATATTTAATGATTGAAAGCATTTCTAATTTTTCCATTGTAAAAAAATTGCGGATGCGTCTTTTTTGAACACCTGTTTCTATATCAAGGGGTTGCCACATCGAAAAAAAATTAGCATGTATTCATAACAGAGATGGAAGTTTCCAAAACACATAACTTTTTCTTTTGTGCTAGGCTAAGAAGATTCTGAACTGCCCTCTTATCATCCAAACTTGTCATATCGCACTATGTCGCGAGTTCATACTAGCAGCGGCCAAAAATAGAAGATGTTATCGTAGGTTGATGAAGAGTTTGTTATTGGCCTTAAAAGCAAATGACAAGTATATCCAACCAAACTCGATGAAAATTGGCAGATTACTCTTATTTAGGCCTATTAAGCAAGTGACGAAAAACTGGATAGATCGGACTCAGATTTGGTACACCTCCTCTACAATGGGTTTTGAAAAATTAGATTTTTTGCCTATAAATGGTGATTGACAATTTACTTCTAATTTGGTTGAAGACGGTAATAAGTGTTTGCATTTTAGCTGTTGGTCCACGTTTCAGAATATATCCCATACGAAGGACCCTAAAAAAGTACTTTTCCGAATTTGTTACATTTAACCCTACGGTCAATAACCAAAAAAATAGACGTAGATCAATAACCGTGGTACATTTGTACCCATCCAAAGATAGCTCTGTAACTCGTTAAAAAATTGGACTATCGTGAGGTTTTTTTTGTTTTAAATTAGTCTACGCGGATCTGGTCTAGATGTAGGAACTCCAAATTATATATACATTAAAATAATATATATTTAAATCCATGCTTAAATGATAATCTATCTAAAACAATCATAGTAAATTCGTTATAGCATTCGAATGGGTTAAGCTTTTTTAGTTATTTTTATTGAGATCTTACTTAGGTGTTCCTCAACCCCTCTGCAAATTTTTGTGGCCCTAGACAACAAGGGGCCATCAGGGCGACTCCTGGAAGTCAGAAACTACCCTGGTTTTCCTTTGGTATGCAGGGACTAAACAATAATTATTGCAAATTATTCACATTTTATGAGTTTAGAGATTGTGATTGGCCCATTCTTAACACTATTTAATACTTTAAAACGTTATTTAATGATAGTTTATATATTGACACAAATTTAGGATTGTAATAAATCAGACTAATTCGATTATAGAAAAAGTTTCAGGCCCAATATGAAAAATAATTGGATAATTACGCGCAATAATCATTATTTTTGTCCCTGTATACCAAGGGAAAACCAGGGTAGTTTCTGAGGGGTTGAGGAACACCTAAATATGATCTCAATAAAAAAATAACTAAAAGAGCTTAACCCATTCGAAAGCTATAACGAATTTACTATGATTGTTTTAGATAGATTATCATTTAAGCATGGATTTAAATATATAGTATTTTAATGTACATATATATAATTTTGAGTTCCTACATCTAGACCAGATCCGCATAGACTTATTTAAAACAAAAAACCTCACGATAGTCCTATTTTTTAATGAGTTACAGAGCTATCTTTGGATGGGTACAAATGTACCACGGTTATTGATCTACGTAGGTAATAACTTTAAAAAACTGTCAAAATTATGTATATGGAAAATATTTATAATTTTTTTCTTCGATTATGTGTGTAAATACCTCAAAAATGATTCCTCAAAATTTGATCCAAATATCTCCATTATTAAAAATTTTACAGCATTTTTATTCAAAAAAAGGTACAAATGTACCCGGTTATTGACCGTAGGGTTAATTAAACTCACCATATTTGTTTTATTTTTTTGAAAATAATATTTGGTATTCTTTAATCACTACATACATTACTGATTCATCAGATTTTCCGTCAACAGATTTTCAGAACACACCTCTGGAATATATAATATATTGTCTAAACAAAAGTACGATTTAGTATTATTCATGTTATAAATTCTAGGTTTTATTTTATGACTGCTTAAGAATATAACAGGATCGGCTTTTATTATAAAATGCAGAATGAAACCCTAAGTTGACTTGGTTCTACCAAATGTTCGGATAGTATATTTTGAATGTCCAACCAAAGGTAATGTATCCCAAGTCCAGAATATTTTTTTCTGCATGGAAAAAAGGTAATACGTGGATTATTTGGATTATAATATTTCTAGAGAAGGTTAAAATAACGCGTTTCTAATATTGAGATACTCAAAGATTTGGATTCGATTTGTTTCAATAATATTGTTAAGTGGTATCCATTTTGTTTATGGATTTGTGCCCTTAAACATGGCAGAATGTTTAACGTAATACGTTTTGCATTTTTTTTCTAAAAAACCAGGATTTGTATCAAAACTGGACTCAAACTGATCAAGTCTAATTTAAATGCAATCATGTAAAATCAATATTTTAAAACCAATTCCAGATCTCCGATTCCGATAACATTTTTTCCAAGCAATTGCAAAAAGATGTCATCGAAAGAGGATATATTGGAGAATTGGTTTTACATTATTGCTTTTATGTAAAATATTGTATGGTTACTATGTTCGGCCTCCGTCGTTTTTCGTTCTATCGAGCTTTCAATAATTACTTTAATTGTAGACATAACATATTTGATCCTTAACTTTCATTTTCATAAATATGTCATATTTAAAAAAAGTGGTCACAAAAAAAAAACCAAAATAACTTTCAGGGCCACAAGCCTCCGCAACTGAATTTGTCATACGTTGAAAACAACCCTATTTTCAACTTAATTAAAGTTCAAAAGTCGGACGGGATCGACTATATGATACCTTCACCACTTTGGGTACATACATGAGATGCTCATATGTACAATATCCTGTAGATATATAGATATTTTGAGGGTATAAAAAGTTCGGCCGGGCCGAATATAACATATAAATAATTCTATACTGAATTTATCTGTATGCCCGACCGATACTCACCAAGTTCAATTGCGCCCATCCTTTAGCCAAATAAATGAACCGAATACGCGGACCTGTTCTCAACATTATAGCAATATAAAATTGTTATTATCATAACACATATTTTAGACCTATCAAACGATGTGCACATTTTATTGCCATAAATCTGGTGTCGTCTCTTCTGACCCGTCGCCTTTTTCATTTGATCGGCCAGATTCTTATGTGTTTTCCCCCGAATTTTTCCATAAATTTCTCTTATATAAACAGTTTCAATAAAAAGTCAGTGATGTAGTAAATTTATCATTTCATTTATTCAGTTTCATATCACTTCCATTTTTCAGTCTTTAGTTTTGATTATCATAGCTCTGATAATTGAAACCATATGGAGGTAGAGCATAATTGAAATAATTATTCGAATAAGAACCAGCACTCCCAAACCCTGCACGTGTTGCAGCATGAGCACATGGAGCTGGTCTCAGCTGGGGTTGACAGGAGAAGATGTAATTTTTAGGGCATGGTGGGGCAGGAATAGTAACAGGAACTGGGACTGGTGGAGGTGATGCAGCGGATACTGGCGCTGCAACGGGAGCTGGTGGTGGAGCAGGTACCGCAACAGGAGCTGGCGCAGCAAAAGAGACTGGAGCTGCAACAGGGGCTGGTGCTGGGGATGCAGCAGGAGCTGGATCTGAGGATTTATTTGAGACCGGACTTGGAGCGTGACTATGACCATGGTGACCATATGCAGTGGCGGGATTTTGAAGTGGAACACCAGCATTATATGGAGCGTGACTGTGACCATGGTGACCATTTGCAGCGGCGGGATTTTGAGATGGAGCACCAGCATTATATGCAGCTGCAAAGGCAGCAGGAGCTGGTCCATAAGCAACAGGACCACCACCAGGAGCTGCACCATATGCAGCTAAGGGTATGGGACCACAAGAAGCCGAACAGACAGCAATGGTTGCAACAAATACAGCGACAGCGAATGTAATAGAGGAATACATTTTGTTATTTTGTTTATTTTTTGGCAAAAAATAATGCAATTAATTAGTTAGTTAATGCGTTGAATTTCGTTGAATAACTGAATGAATTGTTCGCAGAGTTTGCCATTAAAATACTATCGGTGATGTTGATTTGATTGACCAAAATTTTGAAATGCTGACATGCGTTTTACCATTTGGCTATGCTGTGGCGACTATGATTATCTGGCATAATGCACAGTGAGCGGCATTGACACACATATTTTAAAGAATGAAAACGTTACAAATCTTTTTTGTGACCCATATTTCTTTTTGGATGAATATTTTTTTCATAAAAAAAGTTTGAAATATTACTCTAAATTTAAATAAACAAGGTGGCCTCTATATTTCGTGTGGCAAAATGTAAAATAGCCAATATATTTAGAGATGTCAACCTAGATATATGGGACAAATAACCGGGATTTAACGGCTGATACAATGCAATGCGAAAATGTCTGTAGTTGAAAGGATAAACTTATGCTATTAAAAAGAGAAGCCCAATTATTGTCCAGAATGTAATACAGTTGCCATTTTAAGCTCGGGGATATGAACATGTCCAGGTGTTTGTGGTCGCTATGAAAAACATATTTTTCTTATAATTAGGTTGAGGTATTAATAGTCAGATGTATTTGTTTATCACGTAAAAACAGTAAGGAATGCTCAACAACAGGCGGGACCGAATATATGATACTCTTCACCACTTTGGGTATATACATGCTCATATATACAATATCCTCTAGATAGAACAGACATGGCATCTTTGGAGTACCACTGAAATAAAATCGGACGAAAATAAATGTGTGAACTACATAAATATTTGAACTAATTTAAAATAACCTATACACATACAATTCTGAAATCTATAAAAAATTTGATGACAATCATTTGTATGAAATCACACTATATTATGTAAAGGAGCTATATGTAAATCTGGACGTATTTGAGCAAACGTGGTATCCACCATTTGGTATGCTGCAGCATTGTGCGCTTCCCAAAATTTATCTCGATCGGAGAAAGGCTTACTATTTGGTGCACAATTTGCATGAACTCAGACGAAAATATAGATGCATACCTTTTACAAAATCCAATACACTTTATACTAGGTTTGATTTGGTACGCTATGCACCCATTCTTACTAATCGGACAAATTTTAGATTTTTGCACACCATTTAGATAGATTCGAATGAAAACATATATATGGAAGCTATAACTAAACCTGAACCGATTTCAGTTCAATATGCAATATTTTATGTGACCTCCTCGGTACACCATTTCCATTTTTTACAAAACTTTATACACATAACACTAACCTGATTTAAATAACCTTTACCAAAATTTTCTGTAAATCGAAGAAATATACGCACTCTGGTGCACCATTTACATCAAATCGGTCGAAAATATATATGGGATATACCTAATTCAGAACCGATTTCAACAAAACTTAAGTTAATTCATTTTTGGGCTCAATTGCATTCGCTGTGCAAACTTTAGTATAAATCGAAGAAACATAAGCTCTTTGGTGTACCATTTACATAAAATCGGGCTCTATATACGGACATACTATCTAAATCTGAACCGATTTCAGCAAAACTTCACGTACATCAATCAGGACTTATTTTGTACGCTATGCTAAATATTGTCACAATGAAATAAATATTGTGTGTTTGGTGCACCATTTACATTACATCGGACGAAATTATATATGGGAGATATCAGGGATGTACGAAGGGGGGCGGCCCGGGCACACCCCCCCCCCCCCGAAATGATTTATTTTCACAGTAAATTTATGTTTGCAACAGCGAATTTTTTCATTTTGTACTACCGGCCCCCCCCCCGAAATAAAATCCTGTGTACGTTGCTGGGAGATATATCTAAATCTGAACCGCTTTCAACAAAATTTTACGTCGTCAACCTGCCCGAATTTCAATACGATGTGCACAATTTTGTCTCAATCGGACAAGTCTTGACAATCTTGTGATCCATCTACAAAAAAAAACGGACGAATCTATATATGGAAGCTATATCTACATCTGAACCGATTTCAACAAAACTTGGCGTACATCAATCAGGACCTAATTCAGTACGCTGGGCAGAATTTTGTCTCGATGGGATAAATATTGGGAGTTTGGTGCACCATTTACATTAAATTGGTAGACCGTTTACCTAAAATCCGGCGAAACTATATATGGGAGCTATATTTAAATCTGAACCGATTGTCAAACTTAGCACACGTTATTCTAGACCTAATTCAATACGCTATGCCAAAATTCATGCAAATCAAACGATTTTCAGGGACTTTTGTGCACCATTTACCTAAAATCGGGCAAAACTATATATGGGATCTATATATAAATCTGAACCGATTTTCACGAAACTTAGCACACATCATTCTAGACCTAATTCAATAGGGTATACCAAATTTCGTGCAAATCGAAAGATATATAGGGATTTTGGTACACCATTTACCTTAAATCGGGCGAAACTATATATGGGAGCTATATCTAAATCTGAACCGATTTTTCCCAATTTCAATAGGGTTCGTCCTTGGGCCAAACAAATGAGCTGTGCCAAATTTCATCCAATTCGGATCATAAATGCGACCTGTACTTTGTTTACAATTTAACATGGACAGACGGACAGACGGACGACTCAGAAAGTGATTTTATGCATATTCTCAAAAGGAGCCATTGGTCTATCTCGATTATTTTTGCCTGTAACAAACATATGCACAAAGACATAATACCCTGTACCAGAGTGTGGTGAAGGGTATAAAAATCAAATAATGAGGACCTCATTCAGTACGCTGTGCAAAATTTTGTCTCAATCGGACTTACTTTGGGAGCTTGGTGTATCATTTACATAAAATCGAACGAAAGTATATTAGGGAGCTATTTCTAAATGTGAACCGACTTTCTCCAATTTCAATATTCGTCCTTGGGCCAAATTTCTATAAATTCGAATTATAAATTCGACCTGTACTTTTCTCACACAAATATATGGACAGATGGGTAGACGGACACTCAAAATGAACTCAGAAAACGATTATATTCACATTCAAGGCCAGGAATCCAATTATTTGGCAAAAAGTCAATGTCAGGTAGAGCCGAAAAAACGTTATATATAGTTGAAATCTAGGTACTTTGAGCATTACACCAATAAGATTTTATAAAATTGTGGGTCTCGGTTTACACATGACATGAGGGCGAAACAAAATTTCATATTTTTGTGAATATGTATAATTTATATTTGAAAAATGTTATATAACCTTGACATGCGTCAAAATATTAACATGAAATGACAGCAAATTAAACGGAAGGGTCTGGCGATTATAATGGAAGTAGTTTGAAGATAAATATAATTCTTTCCAAAAAATGAGTATTGGACAGATCGTAGAGCCAAGCAGTGCCAGAGGCTACTTTAAAGTTTATAGCATCAATCGACGACTTGATATATTTCCTTTCCACTGTTTTGCAACCGTCTGTGACCAGTCATAAACTTAAGAGATATTGTCGATAATATAAAAATTATCGTTGAAAAATGCCTTTAGAAATTAAAAAACAAAATAATAAAATTGACTTTAACATGGAAGATATTAGCCTCACCTTCAACGAAATTCGCTGTAATATGGTATTTTAAGTTCGCATTGTGTATCACATATTCTGACCAAAATGGATCAATTTTGCTCCACTATTTGGGATAGCCCCAATATAACGGTAGCCCCCTAATTTTGGCTGTTTGGATATTTAGTCAGCGTTTTCTACCAAATTGGCTGTAGTAATTTAGTATTTTTAATTCTCATTTGGTGTGAAACCTTCGTACCAAAAACTATGTACAAAGGTTTGTACATAGGTTTCGGAATAGACATATGCACAAAGACATATTGCTATCTATATCAGGTTTAAAAATAGAATAATCATCACATATGACAATGTTAAACACGCGATATGTCATTTTATATCCGGTACTTATATCGAAATAATTTGGAAAATACATATGCGAATTTTATTATAGCAATGCAGTGTCTGTAATAAACAAACAATGAAATGCTAAACTAACCACAATCGAGTGAGTGGAGTTTGTTTGCAAGAGGAACAATAGGTCACAAAACTAACAAACTCCAAGTGAGGGGAAACGGATGGTCTATGTCAAAACAAAACACGCCCGACTGTGAATGATGGTGTTATTTCTTTGTTGGCAGTAGTGCCACAGTTGGTAATTTTTAAAAAAGGTGCACAAAAATTATTTTCCTTTAAAAAATTGCAAAGAAAGGTTAATTAAGGTTAAGGTTAAGGTTAATGTGAGGAAAGTAGTAAAATCGGACTGGGCCGACTATATGATACCCTTCACGACTTTGGGTATGTTCTACATATGTATCCTAACAGACGTCGCCTTTTTAAAGGAACATTGCAAGGAAATTGAACGAACTTAAATCTAAAACTAAGCCGATTTTCACGAAACTTACCACACCAGCTTTGGTAGGGACAGATTTCCAACTCAAAGGCACGAAAATACCCATGAACATGCAGAACAACAACATCAAGTGTAAATACAAATACAGGGAAAACCACAAAATTTCTGTAAACACACCTGTCATGAGCGAAAAAATATATAAAAGGAAACCTAGCACACATCATTCTGGACCTATGTCAGTAACCTATGACAAATTTCGTGCACATCGAAATATATATAGGAACTTTGGAGTCCCATTTACCCCAAATCGGACAAAACCATATATGGAAGCTATATCTAAATCTGAACCGATATTCCCGAAACTTAGCACATATCATTCTGGGCCTAATTCAGTAACCAATGCCAAATTTCGTGCAAATCGAAAGATATGTAGGGCCTTTGATTCCCCTTTTACCTTAAATCGGAGGAAAATATATATGGGAGCTATATCTAAATCTGAACCGATTTTCACGAAACTTAGGACTTATCATTCTAGACTCAATTAAGTTCGCTATGCCAAATTTCGTCTAAATCGA